TCAAGTGGATCTCTCCTTTGAATCACATATGCAATTTTTGTATATTGGGTGTATCGATACTTTGAGTCATACATATGTATAAAATCAGATCGGACAAGGAATTGTTTTGGGGACCGGTTTTCAGGTTGAACAGTCTGACTGTCCAATTGAAATAGACAGTCTTTTTTTACTTAAAAAATAAAAAATGGCCAAAACTGTTGTCCAAGTCAACAGTTTGATGGTTCGATTGCATGGATAAACATGTCGCTAACCAAATCAACGGTTTTGACCAAAAATTAGTTTTAGGGTGAAATAGAACTGATTGCCTGACTGGTTACTGGGTTTTTCAATCCGATCAGGTTTTGAAAACCATGACTAAGTGACTTTTAGCCATGTTTCAGAGTTGTATTGAACTTTTCTTCAGCATCTAACCAATTGCAAGGTGTGTAGGGGGTGGGGGGGCCAGGAAGAGGGAACCAACCTTTTTCACATTACAGATATATTTCATTTGGGCACCATTTCTAGAATCCTTTAGGTTATATCTGGTTTGAAGGAAAAAATAGGGAAAGGAAAGGAAATTTCTACAAATCTTGTATAATTTTCTTGCATTTCCCTTCCTTTTCCTACTCTTTCCTTCAAACCAAACATAGCGTTAGTGAATCTATAACATTTCTTTCTAGGTAGCTTTGGTGGAAGTGGGGAAGTACATTTTCAGGATCAGATAAAGTCAAGGAAGTGATAATTACCAACCGAACATGAGCTCACTAGAGGTTGGTGGTCCGAGTGAAGCAATGACATGGTTAGTCCAATAAGGCGATGACAACACATACATAGACTACCTTTGATTTGATTTTTCTTTCCGAAGTAAACCCATTGAGCAATTCAATTTCAGGCTATATATGAGACATTGACCCATACTTCAGCCAACTGTGCCTCTTTGGTTTGTCTTGTGGCCTTTTTAAATTAGAATTATTGCCTGTTGAAACTGTGTTAATCCGCCAACAGGAAAGAGGAGAAGATGGTTTTGAAGGAGTTTTAAAGGAAATCAGAGAACTAATTCCTTTCTTATACAATTCTGTTCCTGGGTCAAAAGATGTGTTTATTTAAGTCACCTAACAATATCCTCTTTAAAAAAATAAAAAAATACCTCTCAAATCTCACGTATGAATTGTTATGCTGGGCTTATTGATGGGTGGGCTCCATTGATCATACAAGTGGGGTGAATATAATTCCTGTTGAAACGAAGTAGTGGTCTGAATTAATTACTATTTAACGTGGGATGCCTTGGCCTCACGTCAATACCACAACCATTATTAAATCTTTGGAACTCTGTAAATGTAGCAGACTTAGACTTACAATATGTACATCCATCCATCCAGTAATGAAATTAATGGTTCCCCGTCTTGCATATCAAGATGGTGATGCAACCTTTTTACTCATGGCTCAGTTTGGAACGAGTACATATTTGTTGTATTTTGTATTTTGTATTATTATATATATATATTTATGTTGTTGTATTTTTTTTAAGTTTAAGTCTATAAGGTTTAGTTTTGAAAAAGTATAAATATAAATATGTATAGTACAAAATTCATAATACAATACAGAGGGTTTTGCATTGTATATATTTGTAGTTTGTATTCTTTCCTAACTCAGCGCAAGTTTTAATATATCATTTAGATTGGAGAAATAAGGTTGGCTTATTCTTTTATCTTGCCTCAATATTTTTCTTGAGTAACTGATCATGATCCAGCAGCTGAGATGGTCACTCAGTGTCCCTTGAATTAAGGGTGTCAATGAATTGATAATTGGATCCCGTCCGGTCCAAAATCAATTTGGATGGATTGAACGGACCAATAAGACATATTGGATTGGATCAATCTGGTCCAAAATATTTATTAGATTGGATTGGACCTGGTCCATCCGTAATAAATTTATATTGGATTGAGTAGGATTAAGCCAATATCTGCCCCATTGATATAAGCTAAGAATATAGGTGTCAATGAACCGGGTTTAGGTTGAAACCAATCTAAATCAAAGCGAATTTGAACAGATTGGACAGTCCAGACATTGAATTGGACCGGTCCAAATTGATCCAAAATATTCATTGGATTGGATTGGACCTGGTCCATTTATAATGGATTCACATTGGACTGGATCGGATTGGACCAAACCCAATCCAATTGACACTCCTACCTTGAACGTTTGATCTCATGCAAATGCATGCTCTATGTGGGAAGAAAGTGTAATATCCAAAAAATTTTTTTAGGAGATTAAGGGGTGTTCAACAATATGGTTGGTTTTATTTTTGAAAATAAAAAGCAAGCCCCATATTAAAAAACAATATAATTTTACTGATGTGACACTTATTTTTTTTTCAAAAACAAAATCAACCATATTGTCAAACACCCCTTAAGAGTTTATCATAACCTTAAAAGAAATATATAAATGAAGATATTTTTATCTTTTTTTCGTAAGAAAAGATATTTATATCTATAAAATAGGTGCAAATAAAGTAAAATAGACATTGAGAAGTTTCAAGTGTCATATGAATATGTCTTGACTTGATGACATGTAACATGAAAGAGTGAAGTAACTGAACCCCAAACTTCAAGGGATGAGTAAGTGAACAGGCAAACCCAATGGTGGGAGGAATTTTAGGATGCATTTGCCATTCTTTATTTTAAGGACTGATCTCTTTCTTAGTGCCCGACTGGGAGGGCTGAAATTCAGTGGCTTCTAGCTTTTGAAAATGGACCCCATTATCAAGTTATGTTCGGTGAAAAGTTCTAAGACCCCAAATTGATTGTCCTATTCAGTCTCTTGGAATGGCTTTTTTGGAGTGCTTCATCAACAATTCAAGTAGGTTATCTGAATCTTCTTCAGCTCAGCCTTTCTCAAACGGGCTATTTTCTCCCGATACACAAGTCATTGAGGATGTGAAGGTGAAATTAAGGCTCTCTTAAGAATTGATGTAAATCAAGAACAGTGTAAAAGTTTGCATCGGTTCAATTTTGTTCGCATTTGAAAGGAGAATATAATTATGATTGACATAAAACTCTATTCCAGTTTAGTTTTGTGTATGTTTGGATAGAGTGAACTTTTACGTTGATAATCGATATTAGACCTATCAAACGTAAAGTTTTACATCAATTATCGATATAAATATTACAATAATTTTATCGAAATAAAACTTTATACTATTCACTCATTGCATTTTTTCAAAAAGTAACAGTCACTTTCACGGTTCAGTGTAAAACGTCATTGATATACTTTTATATCGATGATATTTTACATTAACTCCAAACGCAACCTAAGTTAAAGTTTGGTGAATTACTATTTTTGAATATTTTATTAATTAATTGGTTTGAAATTAACAGTCACTAACAAAAACTGTTCAATACATTTCACTGGCTGCTCCTCCACGTAACGGTCATGAACAAAACATTTAGCATTCTGAGCAAGGAGATGGGCAGCCCTATATATTCGGTCCAGCCAAACATTTGTTATTTCCAAGGTAACAAACTCTGATGAGATGATAAAGCTCCCACTATATTTTGAATCTGGATTTATTTCTAACACCAACCTCACAGCACTTCAGCCATATGTACATTGGAAACATATCCCCCTACTCATTCATAGAGAGATATTTCCAATATATAATTGCAATATGTTATGAAGTTGGTATGAAGAATAAATCCGATTTGGCATATCCTTTGCATCAGACAAAACAAGTATAGAATACCACCAATTGTTTTTAACAAAATTACAAAACAAATAGTCTTACAAATAGAACCCGGCCAATTCAGCCTCCACCAAGTCACTATAAAAAAAAGCCCCAATTTGCGCAAAGGTTGGGTTGTTCCATTGTGACATGGTGATCAAACAAGATTCAAATCTTGGAAATAACCTCTCTATAGTCTGTATATCAATATAAATCTATAAGAGTAAGCCGGTTGCAACTTGTGTACTGGACTTCCCTTTTTATGGGGATCAGAACTAATTTACCTATACTATTCACTTCCCGACTCCCCCTTCACGCTTAATAATGACATTAGAAGAATTACCAGTAGAGATAACACTAACACTATAGTATAAAAGAAGAATACAGAGGCAAAATCAAGGATTAAAATATTGACACTGCGCGTATCGGTCTGATACACTACTATATCGATGTGTCTCGTAGTGTATTGAATGATATACACCGATACAAAGGCGTATTGGACCCACATATTGCATAGAAAGGTGCGATATAGCATTCACTAGAAAAAATGATTCAACCATAATTTGATCCCTAAAACTCGAGTTGCGCAATGTCCAAGAGTGTCAGGATCTTAACCACTAAGCCACCTTCCATTTCATAATAATAAATGAAATAAATTATCTTTTATTGAAATCAATTATTACATTTAATCTAAACAAATAGTATATTCAATAACTCCAAGTACAAATTAAGAAGAATAATATTCAAAATTATTATTTTATAAATCAATAAAATAAATAATCTATCAAATCCATATATATATATATAAATGATTTTTAATTTCAATATATTTATATAAATAAAAATATTATTAATAGAATAATCATTTTAATACTTAAATTATTTATATAGACTTGATAAATTATTAATTAATATTTCAATTTGCATTAAATTATATAAATAAAAATATTATTAATTGAATAATTATTTTAATACTTAGAATTATTTATATAGACTTGATAAATTATTAATTAATATTTCAATTTTCATTAAATAATAATGTATCTATTATTACAAAGATAAAATATTATTTACAATATATTTGAGAATATAATATAAATTAAATATATCAAATCCACTAATCTATTATTCCTCTTGAGTTCTGTTGACCGTTGAACTAGAATCCAGCACTCGAAGTTGTGACCAAATGCGCAATCAAGAAAATAAATAAAGAAACTTCGAGAAGGTAACTGTAATAAGTCTGTAACTGTAGCAATCCCATACCCCAAACCAGAAAGAAAAAACCAGAAAAATGAAAATGAAAATACGATGGGCGCTCCTCAGTCAGTCAGTCCTCTCTCTCTCTCCCCCTCGTACCCTTCCATCTGAGAAATAAATTGCCGCGTGGACTTTATTACCCAACAATAAAAAACCGTTTCCCCTTCTTGTTTCACTCGATCTTTCTTTCCTTCTCCCATTGCCTTCTTGCCCGTCAAGCCCCAACTCCCAAGCCACCACCACCAACAACAACAACAAAACAACAAATACTCTCTCTCTCTCTCTCTTGCTATTGCATGACTGATCAAATAACTTCTAATGGAGTTTCGGGGGTTTCTGTCGCTTTGTGTCTTGGTTTTCATCTCATTCCCCAAATTTGCTCATTCATCTCTCCAGTTGCCGGGGTGGTTAGGAGAAAAGAAAACGTAACATCTCTCCCTCTCCCTCCCTCTGTTTCTCTTTCTCCGTATGCATTTGAGAGTCATGCTTGGTTTTGTTTCTCTCTGCAGTCATGGATCGGTGCTTCAATTGAAGAAAGGTGCTCCTTTCTCCGGTTTTGATCCTACTCGAGTTACCCAACTCTCTTGGCGTCCAAGGTCTATATTCCTCTCTCTTTATCCCTCCCCCTTCCCCCACCTGTGTTTATTTTATTTATAGTTGTATGTTATTGAACTTTATGCTGCTCTTTGCTTGGATCTTTTCAGGGCTTTCATATATAAGAATTTTCTATCAGACGAGGAGTGTGATCACCTCATTGCTCTGGTAAGAGGAAACTTTCTCTGTTTCTTTTCTCCCATATCATTTGGGGTTGACCCGTTTTGTTTCGGTACACCTGTAATGCCGATTGTGTGTTTGTTCATTTCTTTTCGGGAAATAGGCGAGAGATAATCTAGAAAAGTCCATGGTGGCGGATAATGAATCTGGTAAGAGCATAATGAGCGAAGTCCGGACGAGTTCTGGCATGTTTCTCGGGAAAAAGCAGGTAAATTATGAGAACTTGTATTTCCTTTACTCTAAGGCATTCTTTGATCTGGTAGAAATGGTTTGATCATGTCGCAAACTGGTGCCTTGGGACGAGGTCACCTGTGCAATAGCCCCGTTTCTGTGAGAGTTTGCTCGGTCAGAGTCTAGAAAAGTGCCTGCGAAAGATAATTTTACTGTTAAATTGTGAGATAACAATCTCGCTTCTATCCCCTTCAATGAAATACATATCAAACTTTTCGATATTTTGCAAACATATTAGATGCAGGGGCTAATAAATTGGAGAAAGTAGTTCGCTTCCATGAAACTTTTGGGCAGGGCCGCAGGGGATGGTTGATACTGTCATAAGCTTGCTTCTGGATCTATTAAATGTAATTGGATCTCTAGAGTCAGTACATACGCAATAGGAACTTTGCTGACCATGACTGTCAAATAAAGAGCAGAAAACAAAAGAAAGGGAATATTGTTTTGAAATAACATCTTCAATTAGGAGATGCTAATTCTATCCAGAGTTTTCAAGGCTCCAAGGCGAGGCTAGGCAACAGGGGGGCGCCTAGTCACCTAGTCACCTAAGCGATGGATTTTTTTCAAGTAAAAACATGTATCCTAGGATAGTTCCCTAGGTTCCATAATCATATTTCCTTAATAAATATCCATAATTTTCATAAGAAAAGTATATACTTCATGTTAAAGTATAGAAAATCAACATATTCCAACATATTCATGAGAAGAAAAAGAAGAAAGAAAAGAAAATTCAAAAATATAGGGGCTGAACCCCTATTTCTGTTATAGGAAAAGAAGAAAAGAAAAGGTGGAAGAAGAAGAAGAAGAAATTAGTATATAAACACAAAATTTGTAAAGAAAAAGAAGAAAACGTGTTGATTGGACAACATTTTATGTTCTTTCTTACTTATTGGTTCAGGTTTTGAAGTCTTTGAGGGTTCAGTACAACATTTAGCAATGTTTGTGTTGATTAAACCCTAATAAATAAGAAAATAACAAAAAGAAATTAGCATATAAACACACAAAATGAGTATTTTAGTTTAAAAATGTCTATTTTATAATTATAACCTCAAAAAATTAAGAATATAAAAGTTTGTTATAACACGCTATAGAAAACTGTTTGGCGACTATGATTCTATGTTGAAACCCTTCATGTGCTTACTGAACTTACACAACAAATTTTCCATGCCTATCCTTTAGCTATGATAGATTTTATACTGGTTCACTAGTATGCTGAATTCAACATGATTTCCTTCCCTTGGTTCTTTTGGTAAGGGATCCTCAAAGTCAAACTTCATATCCATATTAGGTGCTGGAAACCACATGGAACAGAATCATCTGATGACTTGTAGAAATGAATTTGTTTCTATGTTTTATATAGACATTCTGATAAGAGATCCATTTTGGAGCCACTGTTCAGTGCAATGATAAAACCTTGGGCTGGCAAATGTGAAAGCGTAGGTTTTGAGTCTGAGAGTAGCCACTTTGTGCATAAAATGCCAAGGATTAGGACTATATCCAGTTCACCCCTCCCAAGACCTGGATAGCTGGGAGCTTGGGGCCAACATTGGATAATGGCTCTTATTCTGGAATCAGGATTAGCTGAACGCTTTAGCTTTTTAGCAGGCTGTGGAACCAATGGTAATGCTCCATGCCAGTGATAAAATACATGGGGCCCATAGTGAGGTGTTGAATGTTTGTGGGTCCCTTGTATTTTATGACCGGTGTGGAGCTTTATTATTGTTTCCACAGCCTGCTGAATGGCTATTGCATTCAGCTAAATCTATCTCCTTATTCTGCTAGTAGATCCATTTGGAGGATGAACTTATGCCCCATAAAATTTTAAACAAAACTACAATAAGATTATTTTTTATCTATAAAAAGAGTATTTTTCCCATGTGACTCTCTAAGGCTCATTTGTTAGGAGAAATTTTCTTCATTTCACTTGGATTTTTAATTGTCTATAGCCTTTTTAGTCTGTTATGTTGTCTATTTTATGAACTCAATCCTTTGAAAAAGTTAAAACCATTCATTAATAGGTAGATGTGCTAGTGAAACTTCATTTGTTGGTCAGACCACCTTTAGGAAATGAGGCTCTTCCCATCAATTTTTCCTATCTATTTGTATTTATTTATTGGTCTCAGTGGTGAGATCTAAGTCCATCATTTTGCTGCATCAGAGCATGCTCCATTATCAATACTTGTATTTATGACATTCAGATTTCGATGAATTGAAGAGGGTAGGCCTTGCGCCTTGGCGCAACAGTTAGGTTGCTCCATCGTGAATTATGATCTGGGTGGCCAAGGTTCAAATCTTGGAAACAGCTGCAGGGGTAAGGCTGTGCATATCTGTCCTTCCCCAGACCCCACATTGGTGGGAGCCTCATGAACTGGGCTGCCCTTCTAGATTTTGATGAATTAGACCTACTAATATAAGGGTCCAAAGATTTTCAGACTTGAGCCCATATTATATGGTTATTTGTCTACCATAAGCACTAAACTTATCTACCAAATACCCCACTAAAGTTATAGGACAAAAGCAAAAAATTCTTGCACATAATGAATGTGGTGGGAAGCAGTGGAATATAGGTTCCATGTAATCAAATATTAATGAGAGAAACATGTGCATTTATGCTCCTTAACAAACAGAAGCAAGAGACAGAATGAGGAGTGGTTTCAAGTATTAGATGAATCTAAAAAGTGCCTCTAGGATTGGTGAACTTTGAAACAATGTTTTGAGTAAGCTAGTCTGTTAACTGTTTGGATACTAGGAGTATCCAGTAGGTGGGGGAGAGAGAGAGAGAAAGAGAAAGGGACTGCTATCCTGCTGGATCAGAAGCCAATACCTTAATTACTAACTGGTGTTGAGTTTGGCCTTTGGAATGAATGGAATTTAGCATTATCAAATGATTTATGATCTGAAAATCATTCCTTTATATGCAGTGGATGCTCTGGCATTTTCAGATGCTGAAAGCCAACAGTTTAGCCAATGTGGCTTTGACATGCTGTGTATCATTCTTCTTGTTATTTCTTTTGATTTTAATCTAACAAAACAGAGATAGAAAAATGCAATTATATTTATCATTGTTTGTCTTTTTATTATAAATAAATATCTGAATACTTTATTAATGAAGACGGTGGATCCCTTTCTTTTAACATGTCTCAAGTAATAGAACAGATTCAACAGCAGTAATGCCGGCTGAGAACAATGTCTTTAACAGTGTGCTTCGAGATAAGAACCCTCAGTCCCTTGGTTGAACCTCAGGCCCTGGTGCTCCTCATTCAAGGAAACCTCTATTTACCCCTTCCATTGCTAGAGAAACAGCAAGGCCATTGGCTGCTCTTGGTATCCATGTGATCTAGCTGTTAAACCTGGATGCCAGATATTTCATGTTCCTGATATTGTTTGAGGCTAATGGCCTTTCATCTGTAGTATATTTTGACCTTCTTAGACCTTCTTCCAGTTTAAGTAAACCTTGTAATATGCCAGTGTTCATAATGCAGCTGAGATTCTCTAGTTTAGGCAGCTTATATATTTTTCATTTTGCCTTTGAAGGATGAAATTGTTGCAACTATTGAGGCGAGGATTGCTGCATGGACCTTCCTTCCAGAAGGTAGTATTATTGCAATTTTCTTGTTACTTTTAAAAATCTTATCCAATCTTACCTTGAACCTTTGGTGATCAGAAAACGGGGAGGCCATTCAAATACTGCATTATGAACATGGCCAAAAGTATGAACCCCATTTTGATTATTTTCATGACAAGGTCAATCAAGAACTGGGAGGTCACAGAGTTGCTACTGTACTTATGTACTTATCTAATGTTGAGAAAGGTGGCGAAACAGTATTTCCCAATGCGGAGGTAAGAAAGTTTGTTTTAGTACCCTTTTGTTCTTATTTAAATTTTTATTCTGCCAACGATGGTGCATTTATCATTTGCAGAGCAAAATGTCGCAACCAAAGGATGACAACTGGTCCGACTGTGCCAAAAATGGCTATGCAGGTATTGTAGTGCAATATATTGAACTAAAAATGAGCTCTCTTGTTAATAAAGGAGAGAAATTTATATACAGTGAGTTTAGAAGATTGAAAGAAAATTTCTTAGGGAGTAAAGAGTTGAGAGAATTGATGCCTGAAATGAAAAGAATAGGAAAGAAGGTCCACTAAGCTTGTGTTACTAGTATGGTTTGTCTTAGGAAGCAGCCTCTCTTTTGCATTTACCATTACAGAACTCAAAAAGTTCTGTACGTTGAAGTGGCGTCTCTACAAATAACATCTGAACCCTAAATACACCCTTAATTTATGCATCGAAACAGGATTCATGTATCTGAGAGTAATTTGTTGGACAAAAACTTTTTGAATTCAACGGAGTATTATTTCAATGTATCCTTTGAATGCATATGGTTACTACTTGCTGATATCTCTGGCTGTTTAATTGACAGTGAAACCAAGTAAAGGTGATGCTTTGCTGTTCTTCAGTCTCCATCCGGATGCAACTACAGATAGGAGGAGTCTGCATGGCAGTTGCCCAGTTATTGAGGGTGAGAAGTGGTCTGCGACCAAGTGGATTCATGTGAGATCATTTGACAAACCTACAAGGGCTGCAGCTAGTGGAGAATGTGTTGATGAGGATGCAAACTGCCCAAGATGGGCCGCGGCTGGTGAGTGTAAAAAGAATCCACTCTATATGGTGGGCTCTGAGGATTCTTATGGATACTGTAGGAAGAGTTGCAAAGTTTGTTAATCATTGTGGTTGTGGAACCTGAGTAGTCAAATTTGTATGCAGCGCCCGGATTTTCCCTTTGTTGTAGTTGTAGATAACATTGAATCAACGTGGGATTAATCTCTCCAAGATAAGAAGCAAATTGAACTTAAACTGTGTAACTCAATTTACAAGCCAACCACTAATTGGTGATTGCATTGTGTTTGGGGACGTTAAAAAAGATAAAAACATGGTTTGAAGTTTGAACCTTGAATTGACAGTAAAAAGGATTTAAGATGGAAGATTACAAAGAAAAGAAGTCTGTCCATCCACATCTGATTTTGTTATTTATCGCTCTACGATTCGGTGTCTGGGATTCACTTATGCTGCGCACTTCCTTGTGTCAGGGATTCACCCAAAAACGTTCAAGTTTTTACTTAACGTTGTGCCTTTTGTGTAAGTGGGGCCACCCAAAAACAGTTTATTTGAAAACCATAGGGTATATTTATTTATTTAAATAATTAACCCTAAGAATATCCATCATTTTAGAGATGTAACAATGTTAAACACGTCAATTATAACATCTAATTTTATCATTGGTTTATGTTTTTTACTTCAATTAGTGCATCATAGCATTTGCCTAGGCTCACTTTGGAAGGAGAACAAATATAAATATGTACAGTACAATTACATACAAAATACATAATTTTTCACTCTACATATTTGTATTTGTACTCCTACCAAACTGAGCCCTAGTTACTTTTACATTTCCTAATGGCTAGCTCTTAAGTTAAAAAGGGATAAGAAAATAGGGGTGTTGTGGTAAAACATAAATTCCCTTTTTGCCATTCCACATTGTTAGGGGTGCAAGTCAAACTGGGTTAGGTTAGGTTGAGGTCAACCCTAACTGAACCCTAGTTGTTGAACCCCCAACTGTAAAACTTCAGGTTGGGTTAGGGTTGGGTACGGATTAATCTCAGGTCGGTCCAACATCTTTACTTTATTTTGCCAAATGTACTTATTTCTTAGACTTTAAGGGTTCATATTAATCAATAATATTAGTATAATTAAGTGAAAAAGAACATGGTTATCATGTTTGAAAAAAAAAATGCCTTTAAGTACATATAAACCTGCAGTGCAGAATTACATAAATGCATAGATATATACATTTATAAATACATAGTGGCATAAAGATATATACACGTATAAATAGTGAATACACACGTACATGTGTAAATACATATTTATAAATGCAAATAGGAGGTTAAGTTGGGTTTCGAGTGGCCTTGATTGGTCAAGGCCTCAATCCTAACCCAATCCAAAGTTAAATCAGGTTCATACTTTTCAACCTAAACTTGAACTACAATTCAACCCTATTTTTTCAGGCCGGGTTTGGGCTAAGCCAGACAAAGTTGCAAGGTATTTGTCTAGTAGGAATTTCTTTGGAGGTATATAAAAATGAGAGGAGGTTTCAGATAATACCAATGAAGAAGGGAGGTTTTAGATAATTTCCCTTGTACACGTTTTGTAAGGCATAAGTGTAGGAGACCTGTACTGAGTTTCCAAGTTTTTAAAATTCAAATCAATCAAGCGATTGAATGGAATATGAAATAGGGTAAATTACAAAGACCCCCCATACTATGGGGTCTGTGACAAAGACCCCCCTGTACTATGACAGTGAGACAAAGACCCCCTTCCGTTAGTTTTCCATTCAATAAAGCCATTATAATATTTTTTAATCCCCATATTACCCTTATAATAACTAGATGAGAAAAACACTGTCGCGATCCCCTAGTTCAGAAACTTTAATAAGGGCCCAATTAATCAAGTATCGACCATATCTATTCCATTCGAATGCCTACCAAAACGTTTTTCTTGTCTTCACCCTTGTTCTCTGTTGCAACCTCCACGGTGGCCATCATTATTTCTTCCCTTGTCAAACATATGATTTCAAAATGTCTTTGGATTTTTTTGCTCCTTGAAGTTGTAGAGTTTCTACAATTTTGTCCTGATTAATACCAGGCTTGCTCCTTGAGAGGATTTTTCCAATATCTGCAACAAAAGATGACCACGATCATATCCCTCTATATATTTACAAGCATCAAATTAGAAAAATAGAAGAAATTAAATCTATAACTCCACAATGCAAGACACTGAACGCTCTCCTTTCACTCTTTGTTGATTTAAAACACACTTATTAACAAAATATACAATTAACAGAAGAAGGGGTTCATTATCTATGCAAATTTATCCTAAGAAAAGCATCTCATTCTCTCCATGAATAAACAGAACTCCACATATCATCTCAAGGACAAAACAAAAAACCCATATATTGAAAAGAGTACCAAGTAAGGAAAAGTTGAAGATAACAAACAATGCTTAACAACAAAAATCTACCACCTAAAGAACTCCACATATCATCTCAATGATGAAACACAAAACTGGTATATTGAAAAGAGCAAGGAAAAGTTGAAAATGATAAACAATGCCTAACAACAGAAATCTACCTAAAGAGTGTATGCTTTTGTCCTTTAAGCCCCACATCCTTTTAAAAGAAATTGCCACCAAAGATTATCAGCCTATCTACTGCGACTAATATCAACACATCGAAAAGGATTAAAAGACAAAGAGGTAGGAGTTTTAACGACGACTGAGATCCATTAAACAAATGGGGTTATCAAAAGAAAATTAAAAAATAAATCAAAAGGAAGGATAGATAAGCTAATGAGAAAGAAAATCGAGAAAGGTAATGGAACCATTGGTTGGAGAGAAAAAAAAATTCCCGCGAAACGTGGACGAACAAAAGAGAGAAAATCTGTATGCATTTGCACTATGGGTAAGGCTACATACATTTATCCCTTCTCACTGAACAAGCCTCGTGCATTAGGCTGCCTTACCTATTCAAACTAACAAAAAAAAGGGTTAAATCTCAATAATTTATCTGTAATGTGGAAGGAGGATTTTGGAGGGTCAAAGTTCAGGATGAGATTGAAGATGGAGAAGAGAAGAAAGGGAAGATGAGAAATGGATTTCCTCCGTCCTTTCGTTTCGGAGAATTGGAAGAGAGAAAGAATGAGAGAGAACGGTGAGGGAGGGAAAAAGAAGAGTAGAAAGGGAAAACAATAGGTTAAATAGGTTTAGAGAAAAAGGGCAAAAAAAGAAAATAAAAAAAGTTTAATAGGATATTTTGGTATTTTAACGCATTCCGTCATCCGATTTAACGGTAAGGGGGGATCTTTGTCTCAGTGGGTTTTTGTCGCAAAACAAAGTAAAGGGGTCTTTGTCACAGACCCCATATTACAGGGGGGTCTTTATAATTTACCCTATGAAATAATAAGCGAACACTCGGTGATTTTCTTTTAATAGACAGAATAATATTTGACCAATTCGAGCTGACTTGTTAATTCTTATTTTTCATGACTGAGAAAACAGAAAGAAAGAAAGAAGATGCAGTTGTAAATGGGTGCGGGGTGCTGTGGTTGCAGGTTGCAGGTTTCTCCATCTCTTTCCTCCTTTCTCGTGATCGTGATTCATCTTCTTCTCTTTTTTTTTTTTTTTTTGGCCCATGAGACAAATATCACTGAAATTATCGATCTCCTGTTTTTTAACCAGACATAACGTAGAACTAAAGGAGCGAAAAATTTGTTTGTCTCGTGATGTATTAGATAATTTGACTGTATTTCAATTCATTTCGTATCAAACAAAAATAAATTTGCATTTTGGATACGTAATGGTTTAATGGTAACATCAACAGTAAAAAAATGGCATCACCGGTGAAGTCATCTCGATCGAGAGCACCACTCCCATCTAGCGGAGTCATCCCAACTGATGATGATGGGGATACTCTGGATATCAGTACCGGTGACGCTGCAATGCAGCAAGCGCTCAGCGACAAGCTCAAGATCTTCAAGGGCACTAACTTCGACCCAGATTCCTACCTCACTTCCAAATGCCAGACCATGAGCGAGAAGGTTCCTTTTTATTCTTTTCAATTCAACAATTTGCTTAACCCTTCTTCTCAGCTCCGCATCTTGATTATTATTATATTGTTTTGATGTACGTAAATTATTTGTATAACTTTATCTCGTAGAGAAATCAATCAAAGTTCAATTCAACAATTTTTGTTCAAACAATATCGTGGTTGTGAAGTAAAAAAATAAAATCAGAGCTCAGTTTTGCTGTAATAATCTAAGCTTTGCTAACCATCGTATTATAAATTCCTGACCCGATCTAGAAATGGTCTCGTACTTCTAAAGTTGCGTTTCACCAACTCTTCCACCCGTCGTAATAATTAAAAGCAAGAGTATTGGATTGGATGTTAGATAATGAAATTAACATTTAAAGAAAAATCCAACTTCAGTGGCCCCCCATTTAACTTTTGTTGATCTTCTAGTTCACATCTAATAGCAGAATCATTTGAGTTGGGTTCCTGAATTATTAAATGATCCATTGTTTTCTGCAATTGCTATATTGTTGTTGAGTCTACTTTGTTATGGGCTTTTGGCATCATATGAAGCAGTTATCGTTTTGTTCATCATGCTGAAGATTCTGAGTGATTTGTTTAATGCAATATGATTCTGTTTGTTTGTGTGAGTAGTGAAGAAACCAATAACTTCTGATGGGGATTTTATTTCTTGTTCACGGGGTTCTTTCTTAAGCTGGCACAGACCACCCTTTGATGTAAGACCATCTCATTGATAGGTATGAGGAAAGACTCATACAGGCATATGGGCAAAACTGAAGTTTCACAGAACAGACCACAAGGCAGTTACCATAGTTGTAGGAGGAAGGCATTTCTTTTATTCAATTAATTGCTCCATTTTTTATTCTTGTCTACTTCTTTGCTTTCCATTAATCAGCTTTTTTGGTGATTAGTGGGACTAATCCTTTCCGTATTTATAATTCATAAAACGCAAAGTTGATAGTTTGTGGGTTGATTGACAGGAAATTAGGCATTTGTGCTCTCACCTTTTAGATCTAAAGAAGGCTTCTGCAGAGGAATTGCGTAAAAGTGTTTATGCTAATTATTCAGCCTTCATACGGTAAATGCCCTAGATCGAAATACGTGGAATGTTAAAACCATTGTCAGAGTGGATATTTAGTTTTTATGCTTTCACTAGTTATGATTCATCATATAGGGAGTGAAGATTTCCAGAGTTTACACTTTCCTCTGTCCTTTCAGCCCCTTATGAAGACCCTATGTTTATTTCATTCACCTCTAGGAGCTATCCTTTTCATTTAGAAGGATTTGATTTAGGCCATACAAACCTAGTGTTGGAAAAAAAATGTAAATTTAGTAAAGCTTAATTTGTCTTTAATAATGACCACATGCTCAAATGCTTCTTCTGTAAATTTTCCTTCTGTTAACTCTTAAACATCTACTTTGCAATAACAATTGCAATGTATATATTCTACCTTCAAGCTCCTCAATCTTTCTTATCACCTCTAAGTAAGTTTCAATTTTATCTGCATACTTTGTTTGTCCACCATGTGGTTATATTTTTATTTCTCTTAAATTGCTTTCCATTTCTGTCATTATACCAAGACTACTAGCTCAGTTCAACCCCCCC